TTTGACTAAAGGCAGTTGAACAAACTGAATGACATTAAAAAATACCTTGTACTTTTTAAATGGGAAACACAATAGTGATTAGGCCAAGAAATCAGGTTCCAGTATTAATTACATAATTTAAATAACCATGTATTTATTCCAAGGGTATGTAGAATGAAGTGCTAGAAATGATATGAAAAAGTAGAACTACAGGTCGTTGCTATTACTCAGCATCTGAACTAATGAGAAACTTGACAGTAATACAATAATCTGATTTCAGTTAAAATGGACCATTGGTTTGGGAAAGTAATTTGATCATTCATTTGTATTTCCTAAGTGATTTTCTTGAAAGATAATAGCTAATCCAGCCCTTCAAGGTATCTCCATTAGAATTCCAAGAATTACAGGGCCAAAATGCTCCCTAATATAATCTACAGCTTTGAGGTTAAAAATTTGCCAAAGTCACAAAAGCTTAATGAAGGAGGGAAACAAGTTCAGCATATTTGTAGCAGGCCAGAGGGTTGGGGAGCTTGAGGACAGACAGTGCATAAGGAAAGACAACCGAAGATATGTTAAAAGACTAACTTTCCAAAATAGCCTTTCCAAAAATAAGTATGACAAGCCATATATTCCTGAAAAAAAATTAAAGACTTGTTTTTTACTTGGTCTAAGATTATAAAATTATAATGTAGAAGAAACTCTTTGCACCTATGAAACAAGTTGAAATTACGACTTATGCAGCATTCCAGTTACAAGCAAGCCACTATTCTAAGAAATATGGGATATAAAAATATGGATATACCAGGATTTTTAGAGAATGTATTGTCCTAATACTAGGTAATTTGTTACCAACCTATGCCATTTATGGAGCATTCGTAACTCTATGTACTCCTTGGTTCTTGCTGTTGATAGATCTCTGAATTTACAGAGTGAAATCAATAAACAGGAGTGCCTACATTATAGAGTGTTAATACTGGAACACATAATAAATTCCCTGAGCTATCTTCCCTAAAATGTTTATAGTTAAGGAGTTACTCAGTTTTAGGAAGCACGTCTGTAATAGACTAATCTTTTTCAAAGCAAATGTTTCAAATTTCTTATCAGTCAATTTAATAACAATGTAATTCAAAAAGATTCAAGGCTCGGGTCACTTAACCCAGAGAAAAAGAAAAAAAAAATAGCAAAAAGCTTGGAAGACAGAGTTCAAAAGTAACAACATAATGCCACTTGCATATTTTCTTTTTATTTGTTTTATATTAACAAAATTTGCTCTATTTAGAGCAAATAGGCTCTAAACAACAAACAGAAATAAATATAGGTCACCTTCTGATAAATTCAGGTGGAAAATTGCAGAGAAAATAAATGGCGGTCAGGTTTTAATTCATCTTGTTGAACCCAAAGCTTTCAACTTAAGATATTCTTTTTCATTATTTTCTTTCCTTTTCTTTCTCTCTTCTTTCTCTAGGCTAGTACAGAACTGAGCACTTAAATATGCCTTTGTATACATCAGCCCAATTATATTACACTGAAGTTGTGACTCCCTTTTTTGTTTGTTTGTTTTTTTGAGACAGTCTCACTCTTGTCACCCAGGCTGGAATGCAGTGGTGTGATCTCAGCTCACTGTAACCTCCACCTCCTGGGTTTAAGTGATTCTCCTTCCTCAGCCTCCTGAGTAGCTGGGATTACAAGCGCCTGCCACCACGCCCAGCTAATTTTTGTACTTTTAGCAGAGATGGGGTTTCACCATGTTGGCCAGGCTGGTCTAGAACTCTAAAGCTCAGGTGGTCTGCCCGCCTCGGCCTCCCAACTGTAACCCCAAGTGCTGGGGTTATAAGCGTGAGCCCCTCCTCTCCTCGCCCAGCCAACTCTCTTTAAGTTTTAAAATGCAAGTTTCAAAACTTCGAGAGAAAACATCTTTTAAAAATATTACCAAAATAAAAGTCTCCCTACCTTGGTTCTTTAATATTTATGTTTTTAACTTTCTTTTTGTAGATTTATTGAGACATACAATAAATTGCATATATTTAAAGTGTACTATTCAATAACTTTTGACTTTGTACTTCCATGAAACAATAATCACAATCAAGATGATAAACATTTCCATCACTCTCAAATGTTTTAACCCATCACCTCTCACTTCCAATTCCAATCCCCATTCCTAGGTAGCCACATATTTGTTTCTGTCACTAAGCAGTTTGCATTTTCTAGTATTTTACATAAATGAAATAATACAGTATGTACCCTTTATTGTCTGGCTTCTTTCACTCACATACTTATTTTGAGATTCAGCTGTGTTATTACATGTATCAAAGGTATCCAGGTATTTTCTTTTACATTGTTAAGTATTCTACATGGATATATCACAATATGTTTATCCATTCATCCGTAGGTGGCTATTTGAATTATTTCTATTAGTTTTAGTCTTTTACAGAAAAGAGTTTTATGAAGACTCATATACAAGATTTTGATAAGACATACGCTTTCTCTTCTTTGGAATAAATATGTAGAAACGTAATGGCTTTTTGTATGGCAAGTGTATGTTTAACTTTCTAAAAAAATTAGCCAGCACAGTAGCTCATGCCTGTAATCCCAGCACTTTAGGAGACCTAGGCTGACAGATCACTTGAGGTCAGGAGTTTGAGCTCAGCCTGGCCAACATGGTGAAAACCTGTCTCTACTAAAAAAAAATACAAAAATTAGCTAGGTATGATGGTGGGCACTTGTAATCACAGCCTCTCAGGAGGCTGAGACACAAGAATCATTTGATCCTGGGCGGCAGAAGTTGTGGTGAGCTGAGATTATGCCACTGCACTCCAGCCTGGGCTACAAAGTGAGAGTATGTCGAGAGAAAAAAAAAAATGCCAAAATATTTTACGAAGTGTATTAACCATTTTTTATTTGTACTAGCATGACATTAGTGTTCCATTTGCTGCATATCCCTGCTGACACTTGATATGACCAGTCTTTTTAACTTTAGCTATTTTTGTAGCTGTATAGTGATATCTCACTGTGGTTTAATTCACATTTCCCTATGACTAATGATGGTCCACATCTTCTTATGGACTTGTAGGTCATTTTTATAAATTCTTCTCTTTTAATTTTGTGTTTATATTTAAACATTTTACTTATAGTAAACTTCACTTCTTTTGGTGTACAATTCTACAGGTCTTGACTCATTTATAATCATGTTATCACTATCACAGTCAAGATATAGAACAGCTCCATCACCCTAAGAACTTCCTCATGCTGCCCCTTTGTAGTAAAACACTACCATCAAATTTAAGCTCTGGCAATCACAGACCTGACCTTTGTTCCTATAGGTTTGCTTTTTCCAAAGTGCCACTTAAATGGAGTCATATCATAGGCTTGGACTCTGGCTTCTTCCACTTAATATGATGCATCTGAAATTCACCCATGTTGCGTATATCAATATTTCACTCCTCCATTTTTATTGCTGAACCAAATTTGTATGCATAAACCAAATTGTTTTTTATCCATTCACCAGTTGAAGAACAGGAGTGCTGTTTTCAGCTTTTGGCAACTTTGAATAATGCTGATTTTATCTATATATATATATAATATACACACACATACACCTACATATGTGAACATATATGTTACATATATAACGTATATATACGGTGATTAAATATTATGTATTTATATGTTTTGTAGAAATAAATGCTTTCTTTTATCTTGGGTAATTGCCTAGGAATAGGTAATTGGCTAGAAATATAATAGGCTTTATGATTAGAATATATTTAATTTATAAGAAAGTTTCAAAATATTTTCAAAGTGGTTGTATTATTTTGCATTTCCACAAGTAATGTGTGTGTGAGGTGTTCCGCCTCCTTCTTTGTTATCATTAAATTAAAACAATTATTTTAGCCTTTCTAATACATGAATAGTAGTATTTCACTGTAGTTTAAATTTGCATTTCCCTGATGACTAATGATGTTGATCATCTTTTCATATGCTCATTTGCTATCTATAGATCTTCTTTGACTATTTAGTTTTGCAAAACTGCAAAGTTAATTCACAGAAAAATAGCCTTTTCAACAAATACTGTTGGAAAGTCTGTTATATCAATATATTAAAAAAGAACTTCAATCTATAACTTGAGCCATGTATAAAAATTAACCCCAAAGCAATCATACACTGAAATATAAACCTAAAACTATAAAATTTCTAGAAGAAAACTACAGTCCCAGCCAATATTTCTTTGCTATGGCAGCAAATGCATGTAATAAAGGAACACAGTAGTAAATTGTACTTTACCAAAATTAAAAACGTCTGCTCTTCAAAAGAAACTATTAAAAGACAGGAAAAACCATAGACTCAGAGAAAATATTCACAAAGCATATATAGGTTAAATGATTTGTATTCAGAATATCCAAAGAATTCTCAAAACTTATAATAATAAACAATATGAAAATGATCAAAAGTTGTGAATAGACACTTCACCAAAGATATACAAATGACAAATACATAAAAAGATGCCAAATAACATTATTTACTAGAGAAATGCAAATTAAAATCACGAAGACATACCAATACACACCTATTAGATTGGCTAAAATTAGAAAGACTGATTGTACCAAGTGTCAATACAGCTGTGGAACAAATACAACTCTCATATCTCTGCAGTAGGTGGGTAATATGAAATGTTATAACCACTGTAAAAAACAGGTTAGCCAAAACAAATGCAAACACATGTCTAAACACAGTCCTGAACATGAATGTTCATAGCAGCTTTACTTGTAGTAATGCAAAAGTGAAAACAATCCAAATTTTCATCAACCAATGAGTAGATAGGCACAATGTAGTTTCCCTATTCCAGTGTAGGCACAAAAGCATAAAATAGTCCCTTCTTAAATTGCAGGCATAGTATCTAAGAAGAGAACAATTCTATAGGATCTATGTATCACCCCACATCATCTAAGTAATGCATATAATTATATATTTAATATTATAAGGTATTACTTCCTCTTTACAACAAAAAATGATGTTCAATATCTTACCTATATATCTGTATCCTTCTTCCCCATTTACTATGGGTCTCAACCAAGTTGACTTGAGTCGTGTACTGTTAGGCACATTCGCACCTTCAGGAGGATAGAGTGTAAATAACATTTAATTGCTTTGGACTTTTTGATTAGTTCAGAATATTTTTCTTTGCCATCTATAAAGAAAAGAGAAAATATATAAAATTTTAAATATTTTACAGAGTATCATACTTCCTTCTTTTAAGGGATGCAAATTAAAAATGATTTAACAATTTGGATACTATGGATCACTGAAAACATGTTTGCTTTAGTCAAAGTTACTTTATCAACTGAAATTTATTTTTCAGTTAATTCCAAGCAAAACTAAACAGTAAGGGCTTTACTAATATCTTCTTAAACCACTGTCAGCTTGAAGCAGTATTGTTAAAGCTGTGAGAAAATAATTAAGATAACCAATGAACAGCATTCACATTATACATTCTATAACATAACCATATATTCTTACTTTTAATATAAATAATGGAATCAGATTAATCTGACAAAATATTGAGTAAATATAGAGCTCCATGTGTTGGAACTACTAAAAGAATTAATATTCCTAGGCTATAGTTTTTAAGAAAATATAAAAATGCATATTGCTGTGACTGAATTATTTTTATCTGGGCATTTGTGTAGCACATATTATATGCAAAGGATTATTCCTAGTGCTTTAAAATATTAACACATTTAATTTTCATAACATACCTATATGGTAAGTCCTATTATTATTTCCTTTTACATGTAGAAACTGAGACCCAGAGAAGTTAAATAACTTGCCTAAATCTCACAGTCTATAAATGATGCAAGTAGGCTTCAGATACCTAAGGAAGCTCTTATTTGCAAATGAATCTTTGTCAACTGAACATGACCTGTAATAACTAGAAGCTGAGAAAACTGGAATTAAACAATAATTTAAATTCCAGAGTGAAAAATCACTGGTATGCCCATTGGGCCTCCAGTTTGTAATTCTAGTTTTTGATTGGTAAGTCAGGGTCCTAAAATTCAACAAAACAGTCTCCTGAGGATTTAAAGTGATTCTGCCTATAAACATTTTAAAGAGACACTAATGTAAATCTCTACTTATAACCCCATTACATATATTTCTTTCTTTCCTCTTAGTTTCCTTTTTTTTTTTGTTACATGTCATATTTTCTGGAAAAATGAACGTAAGGCCATATGACATGATTTCATAGCTAGCAGTATGCCAGGTATCCATCTATTGCCTCATAGATCCAAATCCATCCTTCACTGTCCTGCTTCTGAGACTGGAACACTTCTTCCTTGTAATATGGCATGATTTTAAGTATAAAACAAAGAAGGCAATGGAGAGAACTAGAGGATGAAAGTGTTCTTTCTGGATCTGGTGGGTCTCTCAGCAGGCTCCTGCAATTTATCTGGCATCTCAGAGGGCACTACTCTCCCACCACTGGGTGCTTCCTAGAGAGTTCTGCCAGTGCACCTTCTTATGAATGGCTTCCCATTGAGTTCCACAATGTGACATCTCCCTACAGACAATTTTCCCAAGACCCGCAGAATGGCTTTTCTATGAATGCTACTAGTATGCAAGCTCAGTGTACTCCACCATTCACTGAATCTCCATGGGTGGCCTTTGTAAAAATTTGTTCTTTCCTTTAGATGCTCTGCCTCAGACCAAGGGGTCCCCATATCTGCTCTTGTCAATTATTAGAGTTCTTTTACCCCTCAGTAGACAATCACAGTTACTCCAATCTCTGTCATAGTTAATAACCACTATATTAGACTTTTCCTGCTTAAATTACTGCTTAAGTCATCTGCTAAGTGGACCCTAACTGATATAGACAGATCTGGGTTCTCATTCTTAACGGGCTTTGAAATACAGTCGTGTGAGGTATAACAGCATTTCAGTCAATGATGGACCAGATATAAAATGGAGCTAAAATGCCTAGCGAAATCCTGGCTATGGTAGCATTGTAGCACAATGAATTACTCACATGTTTAGGATGATGCTGGTGTAAACAATGTTACTGCACTGCCAGTTATATTAATGCATAGAATATGCAACTATTTATAGTACATAATACATAATAATAAATGGCTGTTACTGGTTTCTGTATTTACTATACTATAACTTTTAACATTATGTTACAGTGTACTTCTTCTACTTATTAAAAAAAAAACCTGTAAAACAGCCTCAGTCATGTCCTTTAGGAGCTAATCCAGAAGAAAGCATTGTTATCATAGAAGATGGCAGCTTCATACTGCTATTGGCCCTGAAGATTTTGCGGTGGGACAAGATGTGGAAGAGAAAGACAGTGATATTGACAATCCTGTGTAGGCCGAGGCTAATGTGTGTGTTTGTATCTTTATTTTTAACAAAAAGTTAAAAAAATAAAAAATATAAACAAATTCTAAAATAGAAAAGTCTTACAGAATAAGGATGCAAACATACAAGATATTTTTGTACAGTTATATAATGCATTTGTGTTTTCAGCTAAGTGTTACTACAAAATGTCGAAAGGTTACAAATAAATTTAAAAGTTTATAAGGTAAAAAAGAGTAAGCTAAGGTTAATTTTTGATTGAAGAAAGAAAACATTTTTGTTACAAATTTAGTGTCACCTAAGTGTTCAGTGTTTATAAAGTCTACAGTTGTGTACAGTCATGTCCTGGGCCTTCACATTCACTCACCCCTTACTCACTGACTCATCCAGAGCAAATTTCAGTCCTGCAAGCTCCATTCATGCTAAGTGCCCTTTATAGGTGTATCATGTTTTGTTTTGGATACTGTATTTTTACTGTACCTTTTCTATGTTTAGATATGTTTAGATACACAAAGCCTTACCACTGTGTTATAATTACCTATCTCTATTTTTTGTATGCTTCAATTTCAGGTAGAATAGAATGCCTACACTAAAATCTAAGTAGTGGTGAATATAATCCTGCCACTTTCTCCCACTAGCTTATCCTGACAGAAGACTAATAGAAACACATGAAGTCAATGGAGTATTGAATTTGCAAAGATAACATAATGATAAATGTAACATTAGACACACATTGAAGATTTGTAGCTCAGAGTCTTGCTAATGCCCCATTTTCCAATTGGTAGTGTCAATGGAGCCTTGGAACTTACATAAACAAGGCATCATGATTTTTCAAATGATTGTACCTTCTTTCATAATTACGAAGTTATCTACAAATAAACATTTTTTCATTTTAAAAGGCATAGAACTGGTAAAACTCTCTTCTTTATATTTCATTATACATGTCATCCCAAGATTAAAGCAGGAATTTAATTTGTTTCTGATATTAATAATTTTTACTGTTTATGGACTACTTCTTTTTAGATGCACTAAGTCAATATTGCCATATGGGATTTAGACGTAGCAATACACTACTCTTGGAACTCAAAAGAATAAGAGCTCTTCTTTATCCCTACTTCACCAGTCCACATATGCAAATTTCTGAAGTTTTTAAAATTAACAAATGGATAAAACATAGTTGTCAGTATCTATTGAGAGCTTAGTATACAACAGGTGTGCAAAGCAGGTTATACACATTTGCTAAATTAATTCTAAAATCAGAATACATTTAAGTTGATGACAATCCTATGAGGTCAATATTATCGTACATCACAGCTCAAGATACTTAACCATAGGGAGGTTCCAGGGCATTTTCAAGGCCTTGCAGTTGGTAAGCAGTGAAACCAGAATTTATTCCATATTCTGTCTAGCTTCAAAGCCTGTCTTTTAAATCAAAATGCCATATTGTTTTAATAAGCGGTTCCTGATATCAGAATACTGTTAGCACTTCAATGGTTATAAGTCAACTGGTGGTCTCACCCTTTGCTATTGCCCTTCCAATCTTTTAAAATCCTTCTGCAGCTGTCCCTGTAAAGTGTAGCCTGCTGGTTAGCCCTCTGAGAGCAGCTTACAGTTCTTTCCTGGAGGTTTACTGATGTTGGTCTTTTTCATAAAAATTTAGTTTGTAGTGCTCACTTCGGCAGCACATATATTAAAATTGGAAAGATACAGAGAAGATTAGCATGGCCCCCGCACAAGGATGACATGCAAATTTGTGAATAGTTCCATATATATATACTTTTTTTTTTTGAGACGGAGTTTCGCTCTTGTTACCCAGGCTAGAGTGCAATGGTGTGATCTCAGCTCACCGCAACCTCCGCCTCCTGGGTTCAGGCAATTCTCCTGTCTCAACCTCCTGAGTAGCTGGGATTACAGGCACGCGCCACTGTGCCCAGCTAATTTTTTTTGTATTTTTAGTTGAGACAGGGTTTCACCATGTTGACCAGGATGGTCTCGATCTCTTGACCTCGTGATCGACCCGCCTCGGCCTCCCAAAGTGCTGGGATTACAGGCTTGAGCCACCGCACCCGGCCATATTTTTTTTTTAAGACAGAGTTTTGCTTTTGTTACCCAGACTGGAGTACAATGGCACAATCTCGACTCGGCTCACCGCAACCTCCGCCTCCTGGGTTCAAGCAATTCTCCTGCCTCAGCCTCCCGAGTGGCTGGGACTACAGGTGCGTGCCACCATGCCATCTAATTTTTGTATTTTTAGTAGACGGGGTTTCACCTTGTTGACCAGGATGGTCTCGATCTCTTGACCTCATGATCCACCCGCCTCAGCCTCCCAAAGTGCTGGGATTATAGGCGTGAGCCACTGCACCCGGCCAAGAGTTCCATATTTTTCAGGAGGCTGAGGCAGGAGAATTGCTGGAACCTGGGAGGCAGAAGTTGCAGTGAGCCAAGATCACACCACTGTACTCCAGCCAGGGCAACAACAGCAAGACTCCATGTCAAAAAAAGAAAAAAAAATTATTTTGTAGCAGCTATTGAAGAGCACTGAGGTCAAAACCCCTAATGATAGCACTCTCAGTTTGCTAAGAATAATGGCTTATATGAAATCTCAGAGTATGAACTCTACACCACCTCTAGTTTTCCCTTGCCTCTCAGATAACTGAGGTCCATTATGCTTAATATGCAGGGTGGATGAGGAGTTTTCAGAAAACTCAAAGTTGCCCTTCCCTTCCTTTCCTACACAATGTACTGTATTACCAAGAGCTTGTTGCCTCCCTCCTGCAGATTCTGAAATGGAGTATTTAAGGCAGTGACTCCAGGGTTGTACTTCAAGAATCACAGTGA